GAATAAACTAAATGTGAGTATAAAAGAAACAGAAGAATCTAATAGAATGAGTTTTTATAAAAAAAATTATCTTATAATGTTTGTTAATATTTACCACAAGTATATATTCTCGAAATGAAACTACAAAATACGGTAATATTTCATTTGATGTACAAATATCAAGATATAAAACAATGTCTTCTGATTTTTGATTGCTTTTCGGTGAACTATCCAAATGAATTTTCGATTGTTTTTCATTACTCGTTGGTAAACTATTTATATTAGTAGTACTATTCGTACTAGTCAATAAATCATCTTTCAACATTTCAATCGGATCTAAAGAGAATAGAACGGATACAAATTTAAGAAAAACACATAGAAGAGAATCTTACCATATTCTAATTTATTTATTCTTGATGAAGATTTTAATGTCATCGATTGTTGACTCAAATTTTCCTTGGATATATTCTTTTTTAAGAAATGTAAATCAACAGTGATCGATTCTTCAAGATTAATATCCGAACGAATAGAACCATCTTGAATCCAAAATATATGTCCATGATCAGTAGCTGTCTAAAGAAAAGAAAAACGATGAATTTATTGATAAGCAAACTTTCATACTAAAATACTATTAACATCGAGCCAACAATGACATGTAAATATATAAAATTCTGCTCGAAAATGGATGATTTGTTGATTAACATTTTGATTATCAATTTCATAAAGTTTAAATAATGCTGAACCAGTTGCACAAAAAAGATTTGATGAATATGGACAAAAACTAATAAATGCTACATGGGGTATAATTTCTTTTTTTATCATTCGATTAAAAACAGATCCATGAACAACACGTACTGAAGCTAAATCAGTCATATTATATCTGTGTTGTTCATCAAATTCGATTTGCATTTCTTCTAAAAAGAAACGAAAATAAAAAACAAATGCAAGATTTCAGTTATATATTTCTGTTTTAGTATTACGAATTGTAATCATATAAGCTGGTTCATTATGTAAAATCATAAGTAAATTATCATTCTTATTGATTGTTATTCCAATAAAACTTCCAAATCGATCTGGTTCAATAACACATAATAAATCAATTGGTTTTGTTGAGTATATATGTATACGTGTATCTCCATGCTGTGTAAAACGATCTATTATACCCATTAATAAGCCACTTGATGATACATAAAGAAATTCAATAGCAGAAAATAATAAATACCGTTGTTCATTCGTTAAACAATCAAGTATAACTAAATATGAACCAGCTAGAAAAGCAACACGATTATCTGGTAAACCAATGATGCTATTATGATGAGCAGTTGAACAACCATACACTCGATGAAGAGATAATTTACGCATTGAACGTCTCTTTTTTTTTACTTTTTAAAAGCGCCAATCGTTCAAACAAAATTAACATGTACTGTGAAAGAATCTCAAAGTTTTCTTTTAAATAGTAGACTTATAAGAGGTTGTGAAAACTTGTTGAGGTTTTCTTGGAAAAATACCGAAACGCAAAAAATGACCGTCAAAATAATGCCAAGCTATTTTTCCATCATATGTTCTCTTTCAATTTATTATCTAAATGTGATAAAATTGTAAAATGAAACATATTCTATAGAATGACGATATAACTAGCTTTTAATTCTGTACTTTCAAGCTTTTATCATTTCCTGCAGTATCACAAGTTAAACAGAAGAAGTGATTTGGAAGCTTTCCGTATTATCTAAGATTATTGTGTTGATATTATCTACCGATGTTATAGTTCTTAGAAAATACAATGACACAAGAAAGTATGAGTGAGTTGTTAAAAAAAGAAGAGTTTCAATTTCATTTTGTTTTTATTATCTTGAAAATATGCAAAATTCATCAGGTGAATCATTCAATAGTGTTGTTGAATCTAATCCATCTCCAAAAATATCATTTGCTTTAGCATGGTACTCAGCAAATATTGCTGTCATCGAAGTCTCATAAACATGATTTAATTTAATAGTATTGTTATTATGGTCATACTCAGCACTATCATTTTCAAGTTGAGTTTGATTTATATTACTTTCTGTTAATGCAATTGGAGCTCATCGATTGATTAAAGTATTTAGCAGTATAGCATTTATATAGACTGTTGTATACGCATCAAAGTGATAAATCGCTTTTGAGTCCAAAATTCAGTGGACAACACGTATCGACCATGCTGAACCTTATATTGCAATAAAAACCTTCTTCGACTAAAATACTTTTTTAATCTGTTTAGATAGTAGGGCGTGGGTGTGTAAAAAAATCTATGTTTTGAGTGTGGATGTGAGTATGATTGTTTTCTTCGGTAACATCAACATCAAAATCAACATCCACACGTATACTCTTTTAAGAAGAAAACTTTTCTCAACTATATTCTTACCCTTATTAGGCTCTGAAAGTCAGAATATTCTGGTCATATGAGGAATATGATCAGATGATCAGAAAATTATTTTTGGTCAATCAACATTGCTCGCAAAAGCTATACCAATATCGACATAGTTACTTATGCAGATCCGATGTGCCCTACAATCTAAACAGATCGCAAAAAGAATTTGATGGAAAAAAGGTTTTCGCTGCAGTAAACCAGTTTTTAAGAGCTGCGGAACTCTGATATCTAGGTTTAACATGGATTAGACCAATTAGTGTAGAGTATGTCATTAATCTGCAGAAGTATCTGACATTGTTAATTTCAAAATATTTTATAAGAAATGAAAATACGAAACAATTGTTTTTTCATGATGAATTGAACGGAATTCTTCAGATGCATGATTACTCATGGGATAATACAATAGAGAATCTTTTTTACTTAGCCATAATTGTTCTGTTTTATCAAGAGACTAGTGACACGACATACAATCTATCGTAACAGAACAATAAAAAAAGATCTTATTGGATATTTATGTCATGTTTTTAAGAAGATAATACTACTAGAAAGAAAACACAAAGTTAATAATTGGATTCTTCTTCATTGGATGAAATTTCTCGAACATATTTCAAGTCAGTCGTCTTCTAAAGTTTAATTCGTTTACATACATCCACAAAACTTACTTTACTTCATTAATGATAAAGAAGTTATTAGTTTGTTGTAAAAATAGATCCTTTTCTTTTAATGTTATAACAGTTTAACATTCAGAAATAGAAGAGTATTCTTCGAATACAACACTCCGATGACATTGATGATATGACCTTTACTGTTTCATAACATAACAAGAATTTATGTCATATTTGTTCCGGCTTTCAACATCTGTTATCTATATGTTCCTTTAAAGTATAATTTTCCTTTTAGGGAATATCTGTCTAATTGAAATCTAATTGTCTACACTTGTATACTCTAGTTTTTACTCTCGGCTCATTTAAATCACAATAAACAAAACTATACATTCACAGGAAAACATCTATTGATAGGAACATTTCAAAATAAGTTATTTTTCTCTCTAAGTTTCAACTAACCATTCATCAATTGGCATTTCGGATCATGCAAATAGATGAGAGAAAAAGGAAAGTTATATTGAACATCGGTTTCTTTTATGATGTTGAATTGTGATCTCATTGAAGAAACTTCAATTAATCAATCTTGACTTAGCCAAAATGTGTGATTAATTAAGAATAAGTATATACATTGGAAAGAATAAGGAAGCAATAGAGAAAGGAAAGAAAAAAATACTGTACAATTATGCTCACTCACAATCGTAACATAGTAAATCAACATTAACTTTAGTCATGATTATTATCTATATAATCATCTTTGTTATTTAAATTGATAGTATCACAACAAAAGATCATTCAACAAATCGTCTCATACTTATAAGTTCATGTCAAGTTCATAATGGTGGATTAGAAAGAAATGAGTAAAGAAAAAAGAATTAACATGAATAATAAAAATACTTTTCGTTTAGTTAGCAAATTTATTTTGAAGAAGTTTATTTTTATTTTTTTTTATCCAGATGTCTAAACTTGTTAATATTACTTTTGGTTTTGTCATATATAATTAAATGTTAATATTGGATTAAGATCAATATTATTTAATATGTTGTATTTTGATTAGACTTGAAAGATATATATATATATATTAACGTTTGTCATATATAGATAAATTATTTTGTATTTCAGCTGTCAAATCGATTTTATTGCAGTTTTTCTCAATATTATTTTAATTTTTTTCTTCGTTTGTTTTTCTTTAATCTATTGGCAGCGATGATTTATTCACGGAAAGTTGAGCAGTGACATATAGTGTGCGTGTTTGTGTATGTGAGTGCGCTTTTTCTTTTTGTTCCACTCACTGGGTGATGTGATAGAATTCTATTTCTTTCCAATGATGACTGGTTTTGCGCTCGCGCATGTGTACCCTCTGCGTGTATGTCTTCCCCTTTTCTTGTTCGCGTCACAAAAATTGTTATAAGTCCTCTGTGTTGTCGTTCTTGCTTTCTCGTCATCGTCTAAAGTAGTTGTAGTGGCAAGCCATACGAGAGTTGTTGTTCGTTTGCTTTCATATGCAGACAAAAAATATATGATAGAAAGAATAAGAAGAAGAGAGAAAGGATCTTTTCCTCTAACGGCGTTTCTCTATCTTTCTATCCAATTACCATCACCAACATCCATTTCCTCTCTATTTCTCTCAACATTTTTTCATCACGATAACGAGGTTTTTACATGCAAAAAAACACATTTTTTCTCTATTCTATATGCTTCTTAGTTGTTTATATACATTGTTCAAAGTGAATAATCTGAATTTCTATATTTTAGTTAATATTCGAAGTGATTGTCATTACTTTTTAAACATTTTCAATCAGTCATTATCGTCTTCCTTTTCATCACTATTGCCTCTATCTTTTTGTAAACATCAACAAACCACTTACTATTCATCAAGTGGTTTTGATATTTTTCGTTCTTCACCGCGCTTCCTTTTTACTGGCACTGCCAACTCACCACGAAACTCATCTTTTCATCATAAGAATGCTATTCTTTTCTTTATCGACCAATCATTATCTAAAAGCATTGTTAAAGTAATGTCATCAAGCAACAATAATCTTCTTGTTGATAGTGATTTTAATAAGTTAACAACAACGACAACAACAATATCAACAGCAACAATTAATTCTCTTTTATCAACAACAACAACAGCAATTTCTAATGTTAGTCTTTTTCATACATCACTATCAACATCACAACAGGGAACAAATCGAACATTGAATATAACATTACTTATCGGATGTATAAGTGCAAGTATTATTTTAATTATAATTATTATTTATGCAGTTGTTAAATATCGAAATCGTGATGAAGGTTCATATAAAATCGATGAAAGTAAAAATTTTGTTTTAAGCTCTCATATTGACAGCCATGATAATAGTGGTTGCCGTGGTAAAATATCTTCATCACATCATCATAGACAAAAATTAATAACAACAAATGAACACAATGGCGTTGATTCAAGAGAATGGTACGTGTAAATGACATAGAAAATTCGTAAAACATTGTCTGAAGTTCTTCTTTTTCTTTTTCTTTTAATAAAAACATAAACGCATCAAAGAAAAAAAAAATAGACAAGAATTCATGTATTAAGAAAGTGTGTTATCTGAGGGAAAAGAAGATATATATGGACATTAAAAAAAGGAAGAGAAAAGTTAGTGCTTGAAAAGAATGTCATTTTTTAAGAAAATCGATAATTTTCTTAAAATATACATTTGTAATTACAAATGTAGTGAGTGCTGGAACATTAGCTTCTCTAGAAACAAGAAAAATAGTATTTTCTTCATTTGTTAATCACAAAAAAATTATTTTACTTTGTTGATAAATTATCGTCATTAGTATTTAAATTAATAAATTGAACTTTTAAATGTTTTCCATCATTTGATATAGATTGAACTTTGGCTAATTTATAAATAGCATCATTATCATCAATAGCTACAACATAATCATCAATTCTGTGTTTATCACCTTGGGTAAATGCACCAAACAAATGTTCATCGCTTTGCTCAGATTCATTTTCATCACACCATTCTATTGAATATTGATGACCATTTCCAACACGTTTTTTAATTGTACCTAATCATAATTTTTAAGTACAGACAAAAACAAACAACAAAAAAAGAATATTGTATGGTTTTACCTAACATAAATTTTTTTTCTTTATTATTTAAACCAACAATAACTCGATTAATTAGAGAGTTTTCTTTGTTAATACGTAATGTAGTATAATGTTCGAATTGATGCTCGTTTATTGGTATAACATATTGACTATTGTCTAGAGCTTTTTCATAACAATCATAAAAACGAACTTTTGTTGATTCATGATCAAGATGACGAAGAATTACTGATGGACAATAACATTGACGAGAATCATTTGGATATTTAATAAGAGCAAATGAATGAGCCTTGTATTTTAAATATAAAATTTAGATAAATATAAAAAATTATTTATTAACTTACTTTCATATCTTTTAAAAGACGAAGATCTGAATCAAGAAATATATCACTACGTGGTATACTACTTTGAACACGAGGTAAATCGATACGTTCAATCATATAATTATCTAAGCCATTTTGCTCTATTACAGTACCCTAAAATAAATAATAGATTGATATAGATATTTCAAAGAATAAAAATTCAGAAAGAATCAAATATGACGATTTATGGTAAGTTTTCTTAAGTCTTTTCATACAAATTGAATAACTAGCATTGATAAGTGTATTAGAAAATATCATTTTTACCTATTGGCTAGACATAGACACCGTTGATCCTGAGATATTTTAATCTATATCTGAAGAGTTCTATTGAAATAACAGAAAGAGAGTTATAATAACTTTATACTTAATAATATTTGCTTTCATTTAATATAATATTCTTTGTAAATACATCGTTTGTTGTTTCAGATCTACTCTTCTCGAAAAATAATCAAAGGTCAACATACTTCTGTTTTTTCTTTGCTGAATTAACAATCAATACAACAATTAATAGAAATATCTGATAGTTTGTACTCGTGTCATGGAATGATTTGAGTTATTTACGATGCACAGTACAGATTGACTTGATAGAAAACTGTTTGCTGATGCATTCAAGAAGAAAATTAAATTGATTTGACCTTGAACATATATACAATGACTTGTATTGAGTATTAAGTCTTGTCTGAAGTTTCAATTTTTTTAATGAAATCAACTAGAAGAAGTACGTACTTGCTTTTGTTTTTTATATAAGAAAAAATATAAAGTTGCGCTGTCAGTAAGTTCAATTCTGATGTAGTTCAATATTAAATAAATGCTCACATTGTTTGTTCTTTCAAATGGAAGGAAGCTTATTGTGTGATACAATACAATTGTATCTCAACTGGTATTTCTATTTTGAAATAAAGTTTGTTTTAAAATTTCCTGAATATTTTTTCTGGTTAATTCTGGTCGTTTTCTCTATATATCAAACTCTATCGGAGTTCTAGCACATTGATAGTTCATGTATAGTATTTAGATGAATCTTTGAAACTTTGCTGTACAGCAGACGAAAGAACTCGGAATAGTTTCAAAGTTATGACAATACTTATTTAAAACTATTGTCCGAGCTAAATTTTGAAATTCGCTTCTGCTCATGTTCTATAGAAGGTTTAGGATGCTTGATATTAAAAAAAAACCTGAAAAAGAAAAAAAAGAAATATGAATCGGATTCTAAATCGTCTGAGACAGATGTCATTTATTTTCTGATCCAGAGCCACATTCAGAGTAAAACGTATTAAACGTTTTGACATCAATTATTCCATTCAAATTCAACAAATGTATATGGAAAACAACTTTTCCACTGAATAATTGAAAGAAATTTTCTCAGAATCGATAATAAATGATGTCAATGAACATTACTAATAAAAGGTCGATTATTTCACAAGAGCTTTATAGTTCTATTCAATTTTGTAAATTTTTTTTTCGAAAATTTGAATTTTCTAATTGGAGAGGAAGAAGATTCAATAAATATTTGTTTTAACAAACCTTATAAACAAGTCCATCATCATTATGCCATACAGCATATACACGTGTGCCGGGTACAATAGGTGGAATATCTGGCACTGGTGTTGATGAGGATGTTGAAGAACCAGATCGATCTGTTGATGGTACTTGGACTGTTTGAGCATATTCAGTTTTAACTTGTGTTTTAATCTGTTGTTCTCGTAAAATTACGATCGCATTCATTTGTTCTTCTAGCGTCTATAAATGAAAATAAAATAGTTTATTATTATAAATTTTGCTTTTCACTACTTCTTGAAGTTTTTTATAACGTTGATAATGCGATTTCTTAATATGTTCAAGTCTTTCTTTTAATGGATCGATGAATTCATGAAGAACATCTAGAAAATTAAATGAATAGAAAACAAGGAAGATTTTCAAGTAAGACATATACTTTCAAGTTCGGTTTTGGACACAGATGGCGGTGGTGGTGCTTCTGGTTCTATAAGGATTAAACTTGGATTCATTACATGTTTCTGACTATAGAAAAGATTTAAATGAAATTTGATCACAAAAAAGAAATGAAGAAGAAGCTTACTCAATGCTTTGAAGATAAAGAACACTTCTTTGAAAAAGTGCTAAAGTAATTCGAATCATATCTTTTCGATGTACATAAATCTAAAAAAAGTCTGGCTTTTTGAATTTTTTATCTTCATCTTTGAATTCTTACTTGTTTTGGAGTTGGATCATATATTTGTATCATGTATAAATTAGATGGCAAACCATATGGTGATGGAAGGCACAAAACTAAACCTGGTGCCCAATATTCTTCTGTTTCTTTGCTTTGACGAACAAGTACATAATCATGTTGAAATAAACTAAGTTGACTATTTGAAATGTTTACGGGTAAAAGAGTATGTCCACTTGCTTCTTGTTCGATATCCATATCAAATAAAACAACTGTTCGATCATCTTGATTTTTTTGTATTGTGCCCATATAAAAATAACCATCGCCATCATAACGACAAAGAACTCGTTGACCAATACTTCGATTTATTGTTGATTTTCGTTTGACGATTTGTTTTTTTTCTGATTTTGGTTTTGATTCAGTCTAAATAAATATTTGCTCTTAATTTATAATGTAAAACTAAAATATAAAAAAAATTCTACATTAGCTCGTTTTTGATATTGACGTAAATCAGTTGAAATTTGTAAAAATTTTATAGCACGTTTTATTTCAACATCCATACGCATGACTCCTTGTAAAGTTGATTCAGCTGCAGCTTCTTGTAAAGCATTTTTTAGTAGGCTTTGAGTTTTTTCATTATAAACAGCAGGCTTTTGTAATAGACTATTCAGAACAAAAACAAAGGAAAAAAAGAAGATAAGTTTTCTTTTAAAAAAAAGTTCTTTGTATACTAACTTATTTTGTTCTTTGTTGCTCAATTTTCGCCATGCAAATAGTTCCAATGCGCTAACAGATAAATCATAAAATATTTAATTGTGATACTGAATATTATTACCCTTCGTTTTTATGTTCTTCTTTAGTTATTTCTTGAGCATTTCTATGATTAATAAAACATTTATAATAAAAAGATAGAACGATCAAATATAGTTTTAACTTACTTATATTGATCTTCTTTTGATAGACTAATCCAATAAATATGTGGACCAAGTCTAAAGAAAACAATAGAACATTAGATACCTAAAGAAAAATATTATTCTACTAAAAAATCGTCATTGTTGTTCAAGTCAATTAAGAGTTGTACGAATATGTCATATATTTAGTAAAAATTAATAGAGTTGAATATCCTTAATTTATCAATTCGTTTTATTAGTTGAATCAAGATTTTAATTCAAATTTGATATTAATCTATTTCATTCAATTTTATACAAACTCTGTCAACTAGAACAATTATTTCAGAAATTCTCAAATATGATAATGTCGTTTTGTCAATGATTTTATTTGTACTATTACAAATTACTTACTTTTGTTTATCTTCATCATCTAAATATTTCCAAATGAATTTTGATGTAAATCTTAAACAATAAAATCGATCATTTTTATGTATGCCAATGTATATTATATCTTACTGATAATAATCAGTAATTAAATGTCTAAGTTTGCTTTCGTATTGTTCTAAATTAACAGCATAATGATTAACTAATCGGAATTTATTAACATATGATGCATATGTTAATGGTAAAATCTAAATATGAAAACAAAACAGATATTATTAAATAGAATTATATGTAAGTTCTTACATCATCCCAAACTTTAGCGAGTACATAACGATCAATAACTTGAACATGATGTGGCTCTTTTACTGTTACTGACATTGGATGAAGTACATCAAATATAGTTAAATGTTTTGAAACTAAACTGTTCTTTTTTAAATATGATTTTACTTCATTAAATGGTGTTCTATTTATAAAAATACAGATTATGAAATAATTTTATAACCGAAAAAACTTTACGGAAGTTTTTCTGTTGAGTCTGTTAAGACACCTAGAAAAAAAGAAAAGAAGAATAATAAAATTATGATTATTATTATAAATTCAATTGACCTTGTTGCTGTTCTTCATATTCTACAAATGATGTATTTCGTCGTTTGTTATCACTATTTCTTAAATATTCTTCTGTTTCTGGTAAGAGCCATTGACTATAATTTAAATTGCTTGTATTTGTTTGTCCAAATAATCGTGTTGCTTTAAAAAATTTGTTGTAAAAATCGTCTATTTTTTTATTTTAGATTTCAAGTGTACCTGATTTAGTTTTTTGTGTACGATGTGAACTGATTGATGAACGTTTTTTTCGATCTATTCTTTGTGACATTAAAGCTATTAAAAAATTAATAATTTTATTTTGTCGCTCAGAATAAGAGAATCACTAGTAGTGTGCATCGTTCTCATAACAACGTCAATAAATTGCAGAAAAAAGAAACATTCTGACAGAAAGAAAAATTTTTTTCTTCTTCAGACTCTTTGCTGGTTTCGATTTCAAAGGTAATGAAAACTCTTGGGAAGAAAATGATGAGATAAGCAAGTGTACTTCAATTATAGAATCGTTGCCAATTTAAGGTGTATTTTATTACTTAGAAAAAAAGAACGTCATTGTGCAATACAGCATGGTAAGATAATTGCATTTTGTTATTTTTATATTATGAACATGTAAAAATAAGAATTTTAGTTGATTCTCAGAATGTTTTATAAAAGTGTCATAATTATAGAAACTTTTTTTTTTATTATTAACAAGAAACTTAGTAAATCTTGAAGGCTAATCCCATTATCAAAAATAACGTTGAAGTGTTGAATATAGTCAAAGAAAGTTGATCCTTTGTTTTTTCATTCTATAAGTAAAATTTCTTGCAAGAATTAATTAATTTTGTTTGATTTAAAAGAGTGGGCTTAGTTGCAGTGCTCAAGAATTTTAATTTGTAGTCAATGTGCGAAATATGGTTTTTAAAGTCGTTATAACCTGATTGAAATCGCAAATATTTTCTGTTACATCAAAGATTATAAGTTTTACATAAGAAATATATCAGACTCGATGTCTACATATTTTTAAAAACAATATAAAAATAGTTTATCTTACAATAAAATTACAAAAGTGTCTGTGCACAGATATGGTTAATATTCACTTACAACTACGCGATTGAAGTGTCATATCAAGTGTTTGATAATTTCGAAATGGTAATGAATCTGAAAATTCATTCACTTGTAAGCTTTGGTAAGTTGTTTGCGCATTATCACGCGACCATGCACGACCCATACACTCATCATGTAAATCAGCTACACGTTGTAAATCTTTTTCACCGTGAGCTAATTCTTGTTTAAGATAACTAATATCTTCACTCTATATAAGAAATAAAAACAAATTTATATTTAATAAGAAAAAACCAAAACCAAAAGAAAATAAAATGACTTCAGGAATTTCAATAGATGATTCACTTTCCAAACCATAATTAAATGCATGAAAACGTCCACCTGTTTTTTTAGCTAAATCAAATAAAAATTGATTTGCTGTTTGATCTTGACAATTAAAAGCTATTGTATGAATGGGAAGTTTTTGACGATATTCAACTTGTGAAAGAATATGTCGTTCATTCTAAAATATAAACTTCTTTCATAATCTTGTTTAATTGTAAGAAAAGAAATTCACTTGATCAGGTCGTCCATCAGTTAATAAATAAATAGCTTCAGTTCCAGGATCAGCAAGTGCATAACGAATTGCAGCTAATGTATTTGTTGATCCTTCAGCATGAAGTCCATCAATCCATGGTTGAAGTTGGGAACGTGTTATTGAATCATTGACTTTTGTTAAACGATCACGCCAAGGATAAATTGTTGTATTAAATGATACCATATTAATGCGTTCTTTACCAAATAGTTGATCCTAAAAGTATGTTGTTTTAAAACTGTAATACAAAAATTAATATTGATGGAATACTTGGACTAATAAACGTAGTTTTTCTTTGAGAAAAGTCAAATGATTTTGCATACTTTTTGATGTATCAATTAGTACATAAATATTATTTTCTATTATTGTACCGAAAACATCACGACTTCCTTTTTTTAACCATTGTAATCTAAAAAAATAGAAAAATATATTACTTAAATTTCTCATTATTAACTATTCTATCAAGTATAAATTTACCGTGCTTTAATTTTTTCAAGTAAAGCTCTCATTCGTCTTTCATAATCTCTATAATAAATAAATAAATAAATATTCCTCAATTCATGAGCATAAATTCTATTACTATACCGATAAAATTCCGATGTAACATAAACATGTCGAATTGTTCCATCTGGCCAAGTAATATGAGCAAATTGATCACAATACTTTGCATTGATTATTTTATCTTTGGAAATCTAATTTTCATATATATTATTTCATGAGTTGTTCAGCAAAAACAAGAACTAAATGGACTCGAACCGACAAGAGTACTACTCGAACTGATACCTATCGTTTGAGCTCATATTGGGTTTGCAAGAAGATCTGAATAAGACTAGAATAATCGTATAAGGATTCGTGTCCAGTGAGACTCTGAAGTCGAGTTATGACTGGTTACTGAATTTTGATCGAGCTTTACGTATTTACTAGAATAAAAACAAATCATGATATTTTTGATCTGAAACCTCGCCCATATACAGAGCGAAGAACTAGTAGAATATTCTGAAAGGTTCAACCTATTTATGGGCAAAATTTCAGAGCGAAATACCGCTATTTGATTTTTCGGTAAGTATTCAAAGCTAAATCCAAGACTCTGAAAAACGGTCATAACTCAGCTTCAGAAACGTCATTTGGAACCTAATATGAGCTTAAGCAGCAGATATTACTTTGAGTAGTTCTCTCATGAGAATAACGGTTAAGAAGACTTCAAAATAGTTTCGATTTTTGTGTTGAGTTGCAGAACTCGACGAATAGCAAACGTTTTTGAAATTTTTCACTACATTCTGATCATTAAAGAACGCTTTGACATCAGCCTTTTTTTTGTTATGTATAATTTTCTAAGAATAAAAAATTTACTCACAGCTGGAGTATAATCATTCTTTCTATTAATATTGTCTGGTGATTTCAATAAAGTAACAACTCCATCGCAATGTCGTAAAGCAGCTGATTGAAGAATAGAAAAGAAATCTAATTTTTGTGCATCTACTCCATAGATTTTTAACCAATCTATCGATGCCATATCTTTTTCATCATTATTAAATAATGCGGATGATTGTATAACAAGACTTCGTTGTAAATTATTATCATTTTTCTTTACATTATCAGACGTATTAAATGAATCTAATGATTTTGTTGCTAAAATTAAAGAGAATTAAAATCTTATTTGATATATGAAAAAACTTTTTACTGTCAATTTTTTGTATTGGATTCACATTCTCATCTCGTACAAATCCAAGAATTTTGTCTAAACGATCAATTATATTTTGACATTGGAGTATTTCTTTATACATCAATGATGTATCAGTTGGATGTTCTGTTTTAGGTATTAATGCATTTGTACCAAATTGTAATTTATTATCTTGTAATTTAATTTGTGTTGGGTCATTTAAATTTGATGGAGCTTTTAAATCAATTATTTCATTATTAATTTTATATGACATATAACTATAATGAACAAAAAAGAAATTGAATGGATACATAGTTTTTTCCCTATTAATTCATACCTGCCATTGGCAGTTTGAGCTATAGATTGAAGAAATGTTTCTGTGTCATTATTATGACAAAATAATGAAACAACATGTATAGGTATCGGTATATTTGATGAAAGACGTGTTTTAACAATATTATCTCGTAATATTTCACGTGCTAAGTCAGATGAATTACCTTCACTTATTAAATAAATGCTATGAACCTTAATGAAAAAAAAACATAAATATTGAAATATAAGGAAATATAAGTATTTAAAAAAATTCTTACAGCGTTAGTAAATGCTTTAAGAATAGCTTCACATGTTGCACTTATTGATATTTTATTTCGAGTACATTTTCGATTAGATATCCAATCAATCTAAGTAAAAAGAATGGAATGTGTATAATTAAGAAATAATTTACAATTTTATGTTATTTCATTTGGTAATTTAAGAGATCAATTGATTGTATAAATTCGAGACATGGTCCTTATTCAGTAGACAAAACAAATAAATGTAACCTTTACTAAAAACATCTGGTTTCATTTAACAATGTTTACGTATGAGAAAATTCATGGAGAGACTTTGAGGGAATATATTGCATATGACTCTAAATCCAACATTTATCCAAACTGATTGAAAAGGCTAACGTTTTGAATAATTCAATAAATAAAAAAAAGGAAACTTGGATCATCAATTAACTTTTGATATAAATTCGTGTCTAACCTTAGATTATTAATTATTTTTCTTTTTTTTTTAATACAGAGAAAACATGCACTTCGAGTGGTTATACAGGTTTGATGTTCACACACATTTAAGGCGAAACTCCTATTAGAAATCATGATTTTGAGATTTTGATTCGACTCGATAACTTGGTATGTCTGCTTCCAAGAACAATATAATTTATTTAATTTATTATACTTTTTTATAGTTTGTGTTCTAGATCGTTTTATTAAGAAAAAAGCTTGGATTCCAAGGGCAAGCTTCGCTTCGCATTGTTCTCAAAGTAGATTTTTTTATTTTTTCTTGGTCTTATCTCAAGGATTTTTCGACCGTTTTACAAGCTAGAAAACTCAAGAGGATAAAGTGAAAAGAAAATTGCGCTCGACTACTGAACACAACAGGAACTTTCATTTTCAAATTCTTTTGAGAGAAAATATCATCACAAATTAAGAAACAATATTTGACAATGTTGAACTTTGCTTAGTTCTAGCGGCAGATCTCAGTTGAATTTTAAGATCAATCTGAAATCTTCATTATTAAATTTGGAGAAATCTTTGCCATGCAAATACCTACTTTTTAACTCTTTATATTATGATAACTCAATATTTTCAAATCATCAAAAACTTACAGCTTCATCAACAGTTGTTGTTGTAACATCAATCGGTTGTTGTTGAAATTGTTCGTTTTCATTTGAAACCCTAAATTTTATTCATTTCAAACAACTTTTTTATGCAAAAAGAAAATAAAGTTACTTTACCAAATAATATTAAATCGTTTGATTTTTGTAATTTGTTCTTTAAGTAAACTTATTAAAGCCAATTGAACTTGATTAAATATTCGATGATCCGTTGTTTTACAATCACATACAAAACATACGCTTGGTTCTCCAATTATTCCAAATACACGACGTGATCCACTTGTTATAAATGTTAAACGTTTTCGTAATAAATTTAACATTCGTATTAAACGAGATCGATATTCACCTAATTTTTCCGGTCGACATGTTAACTAAAAAAATGACCCTAAACACAAAACAAAAAAAAAATAAAAAATTCTCGATCTTACAACATATCGATCACCATTATCCTGTTGTATTTCATGATAAATATTACCAGCATATTTAGCTCCGACTGTTTTACCAAGTGTTGCATTGAAACCTGCAATAATTTATTAATAAGAAATAAAAAAAATGAATGTAATTAATTTTCGAAACAGAAATCAAGAAAAAAAAAAGATATTCTATTTTTGTATTCAAAAATGACGTAAATTTATTATTGAAATACATCGTTAGTTAATATTTGAAACTGATATGATAAATGAAATTTAAAATTGCTCATATAAGAAGGAATCTTCTTTATAAGTATTTATCAACCAAAACCTTCAATATAAGTATGTTCCTAATAGAATTTCATGAGCCATAGATCAAAAATTTAAACTATAGAAGAAAAATTTGACAATTATTTGACATTGATCAGTTTTAATATATATTAATTCTTGATTTAATTATAGCCGTCAACTCACTGTTTCGCTCCAATTGGATTGAAGCCATCGAATGCGATGTATAAATTACAAAGAAATTCAATACGAATATTAAAAAGTCTAGATTTTTCAGGGTGTGTTAGTGTGTACCACAAACTATATTTGAGAACCAATTGATTTTCAGTTAGTCTATACACAAAATTTTTATTCATTTCACATTGAAAAATGATTCCATATTATTCTAGTAGTTTCTCAAACTATTAGATAAACTTTAAATATGTCATAGAATGATATTTTTAAAAACTCTATCGAATTTCCAGCATTAGAAAACAATCTACTTTATAAACTTTTCAGAAAACACTTTTGTTTTGTTATATGATATGAAGAGTAGACTTTCATTCTTAGTTGGACATGATCAAAATTTTTTCATATCGGAGAGCGTTACAGAACGTGTGCTCTACAGGATACCCAAGTTCCTCATTGATTGTTATCATATGAAGTTCCGGTCTATTAGTAAATTTCATCGTGATTTACAATTATTATTAATAGTATCCAGACACATAAATGACATACCATCGATTACCGTTTCAGTAGAAAGATTATTTTTAGTTTAGCTGTGTTGACATATACTCAAAGACGAACAGGTTTATCGCCAAGTCGAATTGATATCAGTATTTATTCATTCTTATGATAAATTCAAGAAAAAGCAATATCTATCTCGTTGCTAGGCGGCTTATATTAATCATAATTTGAATCCTGTATCTTCTATGTTTGTTTTATTATTGTTTTGTTCATCTTACGGATATCAAACCTTTATTTTTATTTTTCATTTCATTTCTGCTAGAAAAAAAAATTTTAGAAAATTTAGTAACATGATTATTGACAATGGCTTTTGTATCGATAGAAGATCTATGATGTAAGACATGCTAATTCACATAAATAAGTTTAATATTGTTGTCAAAAAAAAATAATCAAAAAGATCATCCAACCAGGGCGAAGAAAACCGTTCTGTAACATTCTGTCTCATATTGCATCGTTAAACGAAAGTCGCTTATATTCAAAATTGTATCGTTATAAATAGACAGTAAAACACTTTTCTTCTTTAAATTTTCTTACAACTAAATATTTCAGACTCAAATTAACATGATGTAGACTCTAATCCTATTATAACCGAGCGATGGAAGTTAAAATAAACGTTTGTTTTCCAGTTAGCTGGCAGTGAAGTGGGAAACCTAATATTGACACTATACAAGCGTACTTCAAATAGTGTTTCTTTAACGGATAAGTAATGACAAACGAAATCAAATGTCAATAAATATGTAAAAAAGAATTATCGAGGCCTGCAATGTCACTTGATGGGTTTCTATTATCGTTTTGTTGAGCACAATTTGAATTTGTTTTTACTTTTACCAAGAAAAAATGATGCAAACTTTCATTAAATTTTTTTTTGTCAATTTTCAAATATCAAACAGAAACTCTTGTGAAATAATTAAAGAAAACAAACAAACTTTCAACACGTTTAAACCCAATTTGTTGAAGAATTTGATCAAATGTTAATTTCTGTGCTTTCAAACCATAACGTTGAAGCCATTCAGAACTTTTTAACTATGAAATCAAAAAAATTTTAGTGTTTTTCATCTAAATTATATATCTATTCTATCTATACTTGACTTGATATATAAGATGGGTCAGCAGCCGTATACACTGAAGTATCCTGAGATGATGTAGTTAAATCAAAATTTCGAGTTTCACCATTTGTATGTGAATAAGGAACGACAAGAAGAGCACCAGTTGATGCTGAAAATGAAGCTCGACCATTTTTAGATGTCGTCATACAGCCAAAAATTTTGGTTGAAAGCTCGAATAAAAATAATAGGAATTATTTAAATCTACTATCGATCAAATCCAATTTGCCATTGCAATGTACGTTACTATGGTATGATTGTGAACATTGATCAATTTTTATAAAATTTGATTTTTTTATTAAAAAAAATCAATAAATTAATAATTATAAATCTGACATTATTCGTTCTCCTCTTTTTTAAATTATCTTTCGTCCTCAATAGTGTTTGAATATACCAATGAAAATACAGAATGAGTCATCATTCAATTGTCTTCACTATTTTTTACAAGCAACTAGATTCTAAGGAAAGTAAAATGTTGAAAACCATTATTCGTCAAAGTATTCGTCTTCAACCAGTTTTTAATGCTCGCTTATCAACATCATTATGTAGTCGTTTACATACATTATCTAATCATATGAATGCATATCAAAATAATTCAGTAAATAATTGAAAATTTTTAATCGATAATATTAACAAAAAGAAAACATTTGTTTGATAGGTTTGGCCATATGTTTTAATATCACGTCGTACATCAATACTTGATCAACATGTCAAAGATGCTGGTCAAATGCGTACACCTACATCTCTTACACCACAAGATATTGAAAGACGTGTATTACGTATTTGTAATGAATATGATAAAATTCAAGAAACTAATAAAAATAATGTAAGTTCAGAACAATTTAGAATCTTTATGTGTAATAAAAAGTTTTAATGAATGATAGAATTATTCGATATCATATTTGTCTTTGAAAGTGTCAGACGAAAGTAAAGTTATATTTGAAAAATATTATTCTAATCAATATTTTAATAATATTTATCATTTGAATATCATCTTATAGTTATTATCGTCGAGGTTTTATTTATTTTTTCAAAGTTGCTCATGTACTATTTATAATCTGATAGAAAGAATATTCTTTATTGCTATCGGCTATTGTTGACTGAAAAACTTTTTATAGGTTACGCTTTAGAGACATTTAGTGGATTGCTTTGAGCTAATAGTTATTTGCATAATAAAATAATCTCGAAATATATATCAGTGTGAGCAGTCCATCGAAGTTCAAACTTAATTTTAATCTTATTTCCGAACACTTATGAATAATTGTATTGCTATATGAAGAATCTATCAGGCGTTATTTATAAATTTTTAATGAAACTTGTAATAGACGACCGACTACGTATAAAAGAAATGTCATCGTACTCTTGCAAATTATGTATCCCAAAATTCAATTCAAATACTCATGTCAGCATCACAATCGAATTTTGACTGAACATTTCGCTCGATCCAATTGTAAATAAAAATATAAATAATTATCATCAGCTAACTTTCATTGACTTACACTCATAAAATTTGCAATAGTAATTATCTAATATTTAAAATTTGATTCCATAATTTAGAAAATGTTCTATCATAGATTCATTTTTACAATGTTTTTAAAAATTTGCTGAATTCTCAGACAGAAAATACATCGATGTGAAGAACACAGGTTTTCTATGATTCGTTCATATTGTTTTTTAATTTTTCGATTAATTACCAAAGTTTTTTCTTGTGTTCTGTATCAATTTCAGGATAAGAACAATTCATTTGATAAATTATACTTTTTAATATACGAATTGAATTTTCGTAAAAAGAATTGCTTCTTTTAATTTTATTTCATTTAGATTACATTATCAACACATTTTATGAAAGATCTTGGTCTAGATAGTCTTGATCATGTTGAAATAATTGTTGCTATAGAAAATGAATTTGGTATATTTATAGATTTGAATCGTAATTCTTTCTATATAGTCTCTTTTTTTTATTACTAGGTTTTGAAATTCCAGATAGTGATTATGATAAATTATATACAATACAGGCAATGGTTGATTATTTAAATAAGAAAATGCATGTTGTCGAACGTCCTAAACCAGTTGTTTCATCAGCATCTGACCCACGTTATGATGAACATCATCATTGATTTATTTTTTGGACATATTTTTTGGTCTCTAATAAAAATTCTGTTGTTCATTTTTTGATTTCGATTATTTACTTAACTCTAAATCATTGAACAGATTTTGGAATATGAAATACTATAAGTCAAGTTTTTCCTTGGTTTATTTTCATCGCTTATAGTGCAAGAAAAAAAGCAGCCTACGAAAAATGTCTGACGGCGACAACAACTACTACATTTTTGCTCGTTCTGAGTGAGAATGAAAAAAAAGAGGTCAAAAAAAAGAAGCAGCTGACTCAATTGTCAGATGATAGAATGACGAAGAAAAAACAGAAGACGGTAGTATTAACAAGAAAAGAATATCATCTCTACTGAGAAGAAAGACGGCAACCAAGTGACGTTTTTTATACGCACACAAAAAAGAAGAACAACATTCTGATCAATATGATGGATTTATAGAGATCATTAAATATTCGACGAATACAAATAGATTTGAATTAGAAAAAACAGGTAGGATATATAAAATCTACATAAATGATTAAATACTACTCAACTCTTTTTTTTATTGGTCAGGAAGAAATAAGAAAGCTAAACAGTCGATGTGTATCCAAGCTTTTCTTGTAAACATACAAATACTTTCAAGCTTTCTCATAATGTCTATATAAAATTTTCTTCTAGCCGGAAGCGAACCAGAAAGCCCATTTGTTCTTGTTTTTTTTTCATTCTAAATACATTTCAATAATAGGAATACTTCTACTATATAAATAAATCAAATTTTCTTTTCTACAAATGCAATTTCTAAACTCGAAAAAAGAAAATTCATTTTATAAATTAATATATGTTCTATTGACAAAATGTGCTTACATCGCCAAACAAAGCTTGAAACAATCTGATAGAATGTTAATATCAACAATAAAATGTCAGTCATATCAATCAATCTAGACAGTTTTTCACTGATTGTTTCCTATCAATTACAATTCTTTTCACAGATTATAATTCGAATGAAGGTTTGTTTTTATTTAATAGAAGAAACTTTTTGTAAACAAGCATTTCTTTTGAATGCTTTGACATTATTTTTCATGCTTCTCTTCTCGTTTCATTTAGCATCATCGTTAGATATAGCTAAAATATCATACTCAGCTAATGACGTATATGGAAACTGAAAAAGAAGAAAGGAAGAAAGAAAGAAAGAAAGAAAGAAAGAAATACTCATGGAAATTAAACCTTGGACATCCTTTAGTAATTATTAATTACTAAACATTCTGATTATTATTATAAACAAAATGATGTTGAGTAATTTTAAGGAATACTTTTGTCTTTTATCTGAGACAGATGTTGGAAAAGCGAAAGAAAGCTTTATTTTTTTTTTTTTTCTTATAGATTTAGATTAGACTAAGATAAGATAGAACATTATTGTCATGTTCGATAAATCGTCTATAATAGATGAATTAGATGATGATAGTTTTCATTGATTAAATAAATAAATGAGGATGATATTAGTAATAAGAAGAAAAACAAACATCTACTAAAGTATATATCCATACATGTTGTTTGAATAGTGACTATGATATGACTTATCTTGTCACGTATCGCATCCCGATAGATTGACCGAAATCATACATACATCAAATAGATAATTTAATCATCAAGTTGAAAACGCATTCGCTTTTTAGATACGCCACTCCACTTTCTTTTTTTTGCTAACAATCATGTCAGTAAAATCTGTCTACATAACACATAGATTTCTCCTAAGAGACTGCATTCTGTCTTTTTTTTGTCCTACTTCTAACATCATACATCTTCTTTTTTTATCGATAAAATCAATACCCTTTCCACTGTTCGAAGAAAAAAAGTGAGAGAAAATTGTTGACACTTTCTGTTTTCATCTATTCTAGTAATAGCATTGATAGAGATTGTGTTATTTTTGACTGCATATTTCATTATATATTTTAAGTACTCTTGAAAATTATATTTATATTTTATCTTCAATAGAGTAATTTCGTTAAAAGTACTTGAACATCAAAGAAATATTTTTAATTAAATTAATTTTCTAAGTATGGGTATACATAACTCAAAAGAAAATCATCGATTAAAATCCTCAACTAGTGATAATAATACCTGGCGATCATCAATTACTACGACAAATAAATCGTTTACTATCAATAAAAGAAATGATTATTATGGATGGCAAGAAATTTATCGTGATTCACATGTTGATTGGCTTCATGGAATATCAGGTATGAAATAATAAATAAAATGTTTCTTCTTTGTTTTAATTGATATCAATTTTAGAATTATTTGGTTTTGCTCATCATACATTTACATGTAATTCTGAACTTCATAGTATATGTGCACCTGGTTTTTGTTCAGAATCTTTATCACGTAAACTTCATGGTTTTTCACGATGTTCAACAAAAAAATTTCGTTGTACATCTCGTTCAATTCTTCCATCATCATCAACATCAACAAAAAGTAAAAAATTACGTGAACATTTTGAATATAATCATATACCAGCAATGATTAGTTCATTACAAAATTATTCTGTCCATAGAATAGTTAATGGTTGTTCAATATCGGGTTTTAATCATGGTGATACAATCATGTTATCAATTTATTCTGTTGTTTTAGATAAAACAAAATTTATTATTGTGGATTTAAAATTAAATAGATATGTTTGTGCACTTGGTGATGATTATAATGGATTAATTGATGCAAGTAAAATTCATGCAGCTTGGTCAATGGATAGAACACAAGTTATTATACGTGTACCAATTAATGGTGGATCAGCTGCATTAGATTTTTATAAAAGTAATGGCTTTATATTAAACGTTTGTTTTTTTTTTAAATATCAATTTTTATTTCTAGTTATAAAAAAAGAAGCTAAACTTTATCGTCGAATTTTTCCAATTGATATTCATGCTCAATTTCAATTTAGTCCTAATTATTGGTCATCTCGTTTAGCTATGTATACATATTCAACTCAACATCAAAGTACATTAATTAGTTATAATATAGCTGCATTAACACCTGGAGGCTCAAATAAAATTCAAACACACACTATTTCATTGAATGAACAATATATTGGATCATATTTGACTTTAAAAAATGTACATGCATGGTCAACATATAAATATGAACATATTTCATTTGATGAAGGATTTCGTCTTCTATCAATTATTTATACACCTGATAGTGTTTATATTATATTAACATTTGCAGATACACGATGTCACTGTGGACAAACACTACCTATTAGTTATTTTGATATATACAATGCAAATACATTGCAACGTTTAACTCGTATCCATCAACAATTAATGTCTCATATATGTCCATTGCATATGTGTCGGAATTTTTTAACACCGATTTTTTCTGTATCATCTTCAAGAATGGCATTTTGTACAACAAAAAATAATGGTGGAAGAGATTTACAAGTATCAATTATTGTCTTACCAAATGAACTTAATTTAAAATCTATTTGTCGTCGTTTATTGATACATTATTTATATGAATCAAATGGAAAAATTGAAGATATTACTCGTGAACTACCTTATCGTCTCATTCAATATATTCAATATAGGCCGGAATATCAATAATATAATGTATTAATCTCATTATGATAGAAGTTTGTTTTTTCTTGCTTTTGTACTCATCAATGTGTATAGAATTTATCGTGTCTATTATGTATTAGTATAGAAAGACAAGTATTTCAGTAAAAGAAAAAAAAACATATCTATTGGATCGTTTTTATTTCCAAGAACATCTGATAAACAAGTTTATGTTATGTTACAAAACTCACAATAGCGAAATTTTGATCTCCTGAATGTGTAACACAGAAACATCTCTTTCGCATCATTTATGCACTAATAAAAAGAAAATGACATCAATATTTATCTTTATTTCACTAAGAAGAAGCAATAATGGCATGTTCCCTTTCCTATATTCATTTGAGAATTCTTTATATACAAAAGAAAAAGCATTTCAATTGTATTGTAATGCAACTAATAGCTTTATGATTCTTGCTATTAATAATGATAAAAATCTCTGTTAGTATTGCTTGTTTGAGATCTGATATTGAATTATATATTCAAGTGAAGGACATTATTCATTAGTATTGTCATTAATTCTAGTTTTTGCATAATATCTCAATCAATAATTTTCAACATTTTTTTGTCTGTTCTATCGTCTAGAAAAAAAGAAGCATCTTTTAAAGATAATTAAAATATGAACATTTATGTCAATTTTTTTTTATTAGTAGGAGAGGAAATATCAGACACTGATGAGAGTTGCCAAGTATCAAACATTTGTTTTTATAAGTTTTTTTTAATCATAAGCCGTAGAAAAGTGTAGAAGTTGGATTGATTAATCATTGTTTCATTTCTGTTCATTCATAAGAAAATGATTGATTTTTAACAATTCGCAGTAAGCCAAAGGTTTTATTCTTGAAAGACAAATTCCAAGGTCACACAGTTCATAGACTATTATTTCAAAATGATGAGCGATATTAATTTTTCGCTTCTTCTTGATCTTTACATGGGAAAAAATAGGGAGAAATCAAATTAATAATCTCATCATCATATTTTCTTTTCGATAGAAAATCTTTATTTATCAATTGTGAAGTCATGTATAAAAAAAGAAAAGAAAACATTAGACTATCATTTCATGCGGCAGCTTACAAGTGATCATGTTCTAGCTGATCATTGATCGGCATGTCGATAACACCTTTTCTTCTATGAACAATTCATATTCACGTGAGAACAACACAAATTGATGAACAAGCTGTCACCTAATACCGATATCATTAATCAATTTCAAGCACAGCAGAGACAGTTCATCATCATTCATACTGTATCAAAAATTTAATTTTTTGTAGGAAAGAGAGAGAGAGAGAAGCAGATACATATATATATATAAAGATTTATTTGCAAGAGATGACTTGAAATTTAAATTTACGTCTTGTCTTCTTATTCAAACGCAAAGTAAGTTGAATACAATAGCAATCAAAGTTAACTATTGCTTTACTTCAATAATAGCATCTTTTTTATTTGAATAAAATGTAACTGTTATAAGTTAAAAGGCTTTACATTTCAAGTATACTATCACAAAAAGATCTCACAATTTATTTTAAATAAATAGATTATTGTATGATTTAATAAATATATAAAACAATTAAATATTAATATTTCTTTGTCTTTGGTTTACATAGGAACATGAATCCACAAGATAGTGGCTATCTTAGTTCTAGTCCATCGAACGATCAGATATATTCTCATTCAATTCATACAAATACACAAGCACATACTAAACCTGAAGAATCCTATGTAGCTCTAATTGCTCGAGCTATATTATCATCACCTAATTATCAAATGTTACTTGTTGATATTTATGAATGGATTATTCATCAGTACCCTTATTATGCAACATTACAAAGTAAAGCATGGCGAAATTCTATTCGACATAATCTATCTTTAAATGAATGTTTTATTCGACAAAAGAAATCTGAAAATGGTCGTGGTTATTATTGGAGTATTCATCCAGCGTCACTTGATGCTTTTCTTCGAGGTGATTTTCGACGACGACAAGCCCGCCTTCGTGCAAAACATGCTAATAATTCATCGATTCAACCAATACCATGGATGATGAATACAAATTTATCATTTGATTATTCAATGCATCAAGGACAAACATATACTTATTAGGAAAAACTATTTCGTAAATAAGTTCTCTTTTTTTATTCTCATTCAAATTGTCTTATAATATTGAGTTATTAATAAAACAAAAAAAGACAAAATACATGATTCGATGTTAGTCTATTGTGATTGTGCATTTATTTATTGATATTTTCTATGCTATTATTTAATATATAATTTGTTGGTCGATTATTAGATGCATAGTCTTGATATAATGCAAAATAACTTCCTTGAACAATGTGATATGAAAGTGAATGATGAATTTCAATATGTCCATAATAAAATTGTATTTCATTATATACATATGAACCATAACCTTGTGTGGACCATAGAAACTTATTGTTGTTACATGATAACATAACTCTTGACAGCAAAGCTTAATGAAAAAAGAAACAAATTCATATATTCATAAAAGTGAAATGACATTCGTGCTTATCGAAGCGTAATAAACATCATTAGGATCCATTTTGTTTTTCTACTAGATGTAAATAGAAAATTTTAAGCTTAAAGTAATATTTGAAAGAAAAGAGTTAATTGAATGATATAAAGAAATTATTTTCTACGTACAACAAAATATAGTAGTGAATGGAGCGTAATGACATCAAAGAAGTTCATCACAACTATCATTTACATGCCTTGCATAAATTTTGTATACATGATAACTAAAAATTGAAATTTGTTTTTTTTTTCAAACTATTTTTTTTACTTATCGTAAGTATATGTATGTATTAAACATTATTTTGCATAATAAAAATATTTCAGAGTATTTGTCGGTAATGAAAAAACCAAACAAATAGGGCTTCTAAGATTAGTTTTACTCTTAAAGAAAGAGAAAACAGTCATTGATATTTGCATGCTTCATGAAAGTAAAAAAAGAAATCTTTGATAAAAATAGAGTAGCAATGACTGATTCTAAAATTTAGTATTTAATCGCGTTAAATTCTTTTTTTCTACTAGAAAATTTTTATTTATTTATTCACAATCAAAAAATATAAATAGTATTATACTTTGATCGACAAGAAAATTCTTTTCCTTTTGTGTATACACTTTCCTTTACTGTATTTTATCATGGATAAAGTCATAAAAAATATATCGAGTGTAATACTTATAATACACGATGTATTTGATACGACATGACGTATTCTAATTCTGCTAGTAATCTTTAACTTTGGAATCATAAAGTTCGAAAACGTAAGAGAAAAAAATGGTGTAATTGAAGAATAAATCAATCTTACTAAACACTTTCGTTATGTACAAAAGCCAGAAATCTCGTTTTTTTGATCTTTTATTTTTTAAATACTTTTTACTATATTACTATAGATGAAAATGTGATGAAATGTATAGACACATGAATGAATAACGGTAGAATCGTACTCTATGACATTAATACTTGTTGCGACTGGAACAAAATCTTCATCATCTATGATTCTGATTTTTAATTTAAACAAAACATACAGTATTCACTACTCATGGAGAAGAATTGTCAGTTGCAGATTGAAAATATTTCAGCATAACATTTAAGATAAAAGTTCATCTTTACAATACTTTTATAGACAACAAAGTATTTGGAATGCAAAATTCTTCATTCGGTTTACGAATTTATTTTTTTCTTAGGAACTATTTCTACCAATTAATAGTACCGAGACAATGGAACAATCTTAATCTATGAAATGTATATTGTATATTATTTGTAATTTCAAAAAACTATACATAATTTGATGTATATTGTCGCATGATTGACAATTGTTTTCCTTAGTGTTGTTTAATATATGAATATTGTTAGTACTGATGATAAATTGATTTTATATCAATGATTTTCAATGGTATGTTAATTATTTCTTCTTATAGATTACCAAAAGAGTTCGTGAACTAAATCTTATTACAAAACAAATAGATAATAAATTCATAACAATTAAAAAAATTCTTCAAGATTGCCACTTATTTCTTTATGTACAATACTGAATTGTTCGTTTAATTTTCAATATAGTTCAGTTATTTCTTCTTTAACATATAAAACTATGTTCATGTATGTGAAATAGACAAAGATAAATTAATCAAGTGTGATAAGTGAATTATAAAAATAACAAAAGTACACTGAAGAAAAAAATTGATTCCTTATTTGATACTGAAACTAAAGAAAATGTATGGAATCGAAGAAAATGAAAAAAAATGTTTTAAAAATCTAAAAATGGAATAAATTAATTTTCTCTTTCTCAAATAATAAAACGATCAAAATGTACTTACGTTAGAACTAATTATATGACTGTCTCATAATATCGAGATGATCGAAAATTTTCTTTTTTATTCTTCATTCTTCATTCTGGATTATAGACTATGATCTATATCAAAAAGAGTATTTGAGGATCCTCACGAAGTCTTTTCTCTTTTATATTCTTTCTAACAATCATATAAAAACTAATTATTTAATGAACAGAAACCATAAGAGTATCTGTTGATACCATAGATTACAATTTACTCCAACCATTATAAGTTTACTAGTTAGTCAAAAGTTCTTTCTTGTAACAAAATCATCAGTTTAATATAGTCACAAGAAGACATACTGATTTCCTGTCTTTACAATCTACATATTACTGTGGATACAAGAACAAATATTTCGAAAGTCCATTGATGCGAAATACCACCAGTATCGTAATCATCGTTTTTTCACGACATGAATCTTTGAGTATGGAATTGTATATTCTCTATTTTTTTTCTATTATATAATTAAATGACGCATCTTCCACTTTAATATAGCACTACGACATTTACAAAAAAAAAAATATCAATATCTTTGAATTTTAAATTTAAAAAAAACCAAAAAGACAAACAGTCTCAATAATAATGACGTGTATTAACAACATAAAATTTGCAGCTAATCATCATGATTAATTGTTGATGAGTAGATAAAATCTCATCACAATTTCAGTTATTGCTAATCTGTTCTGCGATTTTATTCATATTAATTTTCATATTATTTGATAATAAAATATTCATTCTTATGAATGATTAGAAAATCTTTGAACACATATATTATTGCGATTATTATAGTAGAAATTTAAGTGAGACACTTTGTGTTCAAGTGTTCGTGATTCTAGAATTGATGAAAAATTTTTAGAAAAATGTTTTCTAATTGTCCATTTCAATCACCAAGTTTTTCACTTTTTTGTTTTTTATTATGCGTCATGTGCAGACTAATGAACAATTGCCTGAACAGTTTTTATAAGTAGCAATTAAGTAAAAGAATTTTTTCTTTAAACTTAATATTTTCAACAGCAACAATCAAAACCTCATTACTCTGTCTAATTTGATAAGTTTTCAAAAAAACCATTTTTATATTTCTTGTTGGTAACGTGTACAATATTTTTCAAATCTATTTTGTCAATCGATTAAAGATTCCTTTGTGTAGGACAAACAAAAATGACTTGAAATTTGATCGTCAATTTTCATGTTGCTTGCGGCCTATTCAAAATCTTTTTATCTTTCTGCGACTCATTCGTGTGTATTTTTACTTAGACTAATTTTTGTGGCGTCATGTTATTCTCGAAAATGGTGCAGATTTTGAGATTAGAAGTAACACACGATAACTTTGAGTTACCATGTCCAAGCTACAAGTCGCCGAAAGAACAAGAATGGGAAATAGTAGATAGAGAAACTGACGATTTCTTTCTAAATCGCTCATCACATTTGACTTGATGAAAATTGTACGCTATCAATGATTAGCTTTAATTCTTTGATAACTGTGAAAATACTGAACGATCTCTTTCATTTTTATTCATGACATTGATAGTGAAAAGATCAAATTTTTCGTTTGGTAAATAAAACATTTTCCTCTCTCATTCGTATAATAAGATCGTTTCATATTCACTAACGAGAGAACATGTTTGAGTGCTCTCTCTGAGAACAAGTTTAAAATCATTCTATTTACAATCGTTTACGGCGAAAGATGAAGTAAAAATCGACATCATATACGATCTTCGCATATGAACTAAGTTAACGATCATATTTGTCGTTATGCAAGACTAAGAAATACAATTGTAATACAAATCCATGTAGTATAGTAAAAGTAAAACGATTAATGGTTATTTACGAGCGTGCTTTTTCAGCATGGAGATTTCTCAGTAACCTTACTAGTAAAAGAAGCCAGATTAGTACCGAGATCTTCTATTCACTGTGAGCATCCTTACCTACCAACCACGCCCATACCGTCTTTTTCCTAATGCTTCCCCATTAATTTTCACTTTTTTGTTTTTCTCCGGTTTTTTTTATGTTGATGCGTTTGTTCATGCTAAAAACTGTAATTCAGGAGTCTGATTAGTATTAATATTGTAGTAAATAGTATGAAACCCATCGGCAAATTGAACTCTATATTTCTTTATCTATTATTTTAAAGGCACATTAGTTATAATTCAAGTTACTGCAACAAAATATCGGTTATTGAAAAACAATAATTAAGACTTGCAGATCTGAGTTGTTTTTCAAGAAATAGATCGGTCTGATTTCAATTGATTTATACTCACAATTCAACAGTCACATCCTCTGTTTTGTTTATAATTTTTATTTGAATCGTAGTTTATTCATGTTTCGCTATATTTCATTTTTACTTCAATGTACCAAAGTCTCGCTTTTCCTTTTTTGCTCACACCTCTCACACTTCTTCGAATCTAAATAACTGTTCCCGTTGTTTCGCGTCTGATATATATCGCTTTTGTACAGTAGTGTTCAGTTTCAGTGATTTTATTGTGTTTCAGTTAACATACTGAAACGATATTGGTCACACATGTATTATTGTAGTCTATAACGAAAGCTGCAAATTTGGTGAGAGGCTTTGATAGATGAATAGATGTGACTGTATGTTTCAGTAAATCATTTTGTCATCCACGCTACATTCTCAATCTATTTCTAATTAAATTTAATCAAATCAATCAAAAAATTGTTAGTTTGCTAGTTTCTAAATATTAAAGCAGTCACTGTATGTCTTATCTATGCAACTAGTACAATACGTATTGTGTTAAGCTATGTCGGCGTAGAATTGAACAGTACCTCCTGACGTAAGGCGAAGCCAAAATGAGATAATGTAGTTTTGACCGACTGTTGCTAGAAACTGTTGGCCAAGAAACTCATATCCATACGTACATTGATTCATAAAGCAGGAATTTCCAGTGGATGAGTGACAAGCAGTACTATTTCTCACTATTCGACCTGCAGTGCCATTCTGACAAGTGTACGTACACCAAGTAACCCAATCAGAAGGTGGTACTGATGCTGAATTTTCAAAACTTGGATTAAGAAGTAATTGAGTTGAATTGGTGATAGAGTCGACAACTGATACTTCATCTAGATAAGTACTTGTTCCACCATTATTGAATGTAAATTGAAGGACAGGATCTGTTTTCGTTGCTGCATAGCTAAATGTATATTGAACCCACGTAGTCGATGAAAATAATGACATGAGGGTACCTAGACCCGCGCCAGAGCAAACAGTCGCTGTGATATTTATGATAGTATGAGCATGTTTAGAGAAATGTATATAAATGCTAACTTACTAGTAGTTGTCGTTGAGGTGGTCGTTGTTGTCGTTGTTGTTGTTGCTAATAGTAGTCAAAAATGAATAGATATGAACACTTAGAACTTAAAGAAGTTTCTAGTAATGAATAGCTCTTTCAAGTTTGTCACATGCAAAATACAGTACTGCTGTACGGAGAGACTATTTTGACCACAAGAATATTGTTTTTGTTGATTTTATGCTATTTGGAGATTAACGATCGTGTCTGACAAGGAGATATTTTCATATGTTCGTTCACTTTTGAGCTAGAACTTAGTGCACTTTATAGATCTTAGTAGATTATGTCTATCATAAAAATAGTTCGTACTCATGTCTTGTTTCTGTGGAGATCGAACGCTTTAACTAAATTTTTATTGTAGAACCTCATAATTGCGATCACATTATATTTACAAATCTTTATTTGAAACTTTGTTCACATAAACACTACAAATAGAATAGTTTGCATAGAAAATTTCAAAAGTTTTTGGACTAAGTCTTATGGTAATATGAAGTTTGTCAGAAATATATACTGTATATACTACCTTTGCGAAAGGGTCTATAAGTTGAAAGTTCTACATCTCGAAGAGACTTAGCTAAACGTTTCTGAAATTTTGAACAAAAGCTAATCTAATCGAGATCTTTATCTAAGCAAAAGCTTCAGATCAAGAGTTGCAAATATGGCTTTGTGGGAAAACATGAGATCCTATAGCAAATATTTACTTGGTAAGTTCAATCTCCATAGAAACAAACCATAGGTACGAACTCTTTTTATGGTAGACATAATTCACTGAAGTCTATAGAATGTACTAAGTCCTAACTCAAAAGGGAACAAACATCGGAGAATGTTTTTTTGTGAGTCTTCAGGAGCCTCACGGTTATTATAACCCATGTCGCTGTCATAATGGCATATTTGCCACTATTTTTGAAGAACACAGTTGATCTTGATTTTTGAAGTACATCAGTACAAAATAGACCACAACTCTCTTAGGTTCATCTCATAAGACTGCAATAGATATTTGAAGCACGTTTCAACATAACTATCACAATCGTTGACAAAGTTAGGATGTTTATCATGCATTTCTCATCTGTCCTTTACATCACTGGAACAAATATAGTGAGGAATCGTCTTCATGGTTCAAGTGTTTCTATTGTCTTTCACTATTTAATCATTCAGAAACTACACTGATAGCTTCTAGTTTTCGTTTTTCTTAGAAAGTTTCTTTCCTGTACACTTACAAATACTTCGTAGACACAAGCAACCTACACCACATATTAGTGAAGATAAATCATGTGCTTATCTTATTCGTTCACGGCTCCAGTATCGAGCGCTTTGTCTAAAATGATGGGATACAAAGTTGCACCTCATTGCTTCCCCTAATTCTGATCAACAGAATCGACAAATCATCAACAGACTATAACAGACGTCTTTGACTTATGATCCAAAACCGTTTATGAATAGAGTCTTGTACTAATATATAAACTAGTCTCTTATTGTATGTCTAGGGGATTAAGTAAAAAGAATCGTAAGAAAATGTGACCTTAATCAGAAAGGATAAAACAGTCTCTCGTTGATTATCAACAGAAGCTACATCATGTCTTACATATTGATTCTGTAAGAATTACGCTGATAGCTTTGATTGCAAAGCTTCCTTTTTTTTATTAACCTATAATTTCTTAAAGTTTTGCACATCAATAATATCTCATTTCCAAGCAACGACATTGGAAAAAGCATTGCACAGAGATATGTTCTGCAAACACTCTTCTCATGGATCGAAAACCAACATATAGATACACATACGAACTTTATTCTGTCTAACTTATTGAACTAATTATTTCTCGTTTATTTTTTTAATTCTCTCTTTCACAAACGTGTATACAATACTAGTCTGAAATGTCGAGTTCTTCTAAACTACGTTCGAATGTTAACCAAACAGGTTCAATTTTTTGCACAATACGTGAATTTCATTGAATGTTAATCGATTACAAAATTTTACTCTGAGAAACAAATTGAATTGTATACTCAAACACTTGGTGCTGTCTATCTACCTTGATTAGTTGAAGAATATCGGGAGATAATTAATCACCACTGTTTCCATCTTTTAGTCTTAGTCTCTAAGATTTGAATAAATTTCTATTGTCTGTTGCCAATACCACTAACGTTCAATACTTAGGTAGCTGCAATATCGCCAAATAATAGATGAAACGCTATGAAATTTTCAATTGTTCAGCTGCATTCATCAATTCATCCATTAATCGAGTACTAAGAAAGTACTTCGAACAGTATAGAAAGTTATGTATTCAGTTCTAGATGCTAGTACTCTCTCAGATAAAAAGACAAAATTATATGCACAGCTATTGACTCACAGGATATGTCAATAGTTTACAAAAGGAAATCGTTCTACTCCAAGAAAAGTTTGATATATAGCCTTATCTTTCCATGGCACTTTAATAATTTTCTCAAAGTGTCGATTTCTGAATGAAAATCGACAATCAAACTCTAGTGAAAAACTGCAACAGGCAAGCACCATTCACTCATGAAAAAAACTAAACTAACATATCCGTCAAATTGAATAGAGGCATATGGAACGTGAATAGTATCAGAATTGTCAGATCATTTATTGGCATTTGCTTTCAAAACTTATGATTTCAAAAACCCAATAACTTAAAAAATACTAGATCGAAAAGATAATGTGCTGATGAAAAAAATGCAATATTGACAGCAGTATCAACTCTATAACTGGGCTTATGAACAAAATCAGCATGTAGAGCGTTTTCTAAAAGATGTGAAAGGTACCATAGTAGTTGTTGAGAAATGTCATTCAAATCATTCATCAATTATGATGTAGGAATCTAATCATGTCTCTCACAATTTTTCGTGGCAAGTAAATTTCATGAACAGTAACGTAGTTCATTACAAAGATTTCTCTTTCAAGTCATATCACTATACTTGACAGACACAAGAAGATTTGAGAGCTAGAAATCTCTTGTTCTCAATTGAAATATTCGCAGAACTTCAAGTTTGATCTCATAACGCTCCTCCTGAAAACTTGTCTCCTTACATGTAGTAGTTGTTGTGGTTGTCGTTGTTTTTGTTGTTGTTGTCGTCGTCGTCGTGCTTGTGGTTGTTGTTGTTGTTGTTGTCGTTTTTGTAGTTGTTGTTGTTGTTGTCGTCGTAGTCGTTGTTGTTGTTGTGATTGTCGTTGTCGTTGTTGTTGTAGTCGTTGTTGTTGTAGTTGTAGTTGTTGTTTTTGACGTTGTTGTGGTTGTTGTTGTCGTTGTTACTGTTGTCGACGTTGTACCCGTAGTCGTTGTTGTTGTAGTTGAAGTTGTTGTTGTTGACGTTGTTGTGGTTGTTGTTGTCGTTGTTTCTGTCGTCGACGTTGTGCTCGTGGTTATTGTTGTTGTGGTCACCGTAGTTGTTGTTGTAGTGGTTGTTGTTGTTGTGGTTACCGTAGTTGTTGTTGTGGTGGTTACCGTGGTTGTTGTTGTAGTGGTTGCCGTAGTAGTTGTTGTAGTAGTCGTTGTTGTTGTTGTCTCTGTCGTCGTTGTTGTCGTTGTTTCTGTCGTTGTTGTTGTTGTGGTTGCCGTTGTGCTTGTGGTCGTTGTTGTGGTCGTTGCTGTCGTTGTCGTTGTTGTTGTTGTTGTTGTCGTGGTTGTTGATGTTGTTGTCGATGTCGTCGTCGTTGTGCTTGTGGTCGTTGTTGTGGTCGTTGTTGTCGTTGTCGTTGTTGTTGTTGTTGTTGTCGTAGTTGTTGATGTTGTTGTCGATGTCGTTGTCGTTGTGCTTGTGGTCGTTGTTGTGGTCGTTGTTGTCGTTGTCGTTGTTGATGTTGTTGTTGTTGCCGTCGTTGTGGTCGAAGTCGTTGCAGTTGTCGAGGCTATTATTACAAGCACAAATATTCAAGTATAAATATCAAAATTATCAATCATTTTAATTTATTATTGTTTAGTCGACGTGAACTTTAGTAACACTTAACAGTATTCGTGCCACATGTATAAAATTGATGCGTCTTCAGTAATTGAAGAAAAATTCATGTGCCTGATATAACTTAACATGTTGAGATTTTTTAGCAACTGTTAGAGTTCAATTTAAGGCCGCCCCCCCTCCGTTTAGAAAAGTCAATTTTTTGAAAAAAATTCGAGTTTGAGATTTATACATATTCTAATAGCCCATGTATTGAACTACAATCTAGCATAATTTGTTTTGCCAAAACGTATACATTGGTCTTTTTTTCTGGCGAGTTTTTTTTCTGAATATGTGCTACTGAGGCATAAAGGGTGTTTCATAATAACTGAGAATACAATGTTAATGATATTTTTCATACTTTTGTTTGACCGTGAGAGCTGAAACTTTTGTGGCATATATCACTAATCAAGATCTTTTAGTTCTAAAATTTTCAGCTCTATAGCTATGACTAATGATAAAATACATCGATCAAAGTGAAATACATAAGTTTTCGCTCTTGAGTCTTGCCTCATTTTTTCAGCAAAAATCGAGTACGAAAACTTATGTATTTTATCATTAGTCCTAGTTATAGAGATGAAACTTTCAGAACTAAAAGATCTTGATTAGTTATATATGCCATAAAAATTTCAGATCTCTCGATCAAAAAAACGAATGAAAATATCATTAACGAAAAAATTGATAAAAACATGTGTGACATGAAGTGACATCTATGTATAAGGAATCATGACCACAATTTAGGTATGATATGTACCTCTAACCATATTATGATATATCTACGTACATGCCATCAATAAAGCTTGAGGAATAGTGCGAAAATATTAGGTAGATAAGCAGATTTATTTCGAATAGAGACACTTACAGCATCAAAAATTTTTTTTCCGCTTTTCTCAAAATCAATTTTGTCGAGCATACCGTTTACGTGGGCAAGTTTTTCTTCATAATGACTCAATATAGAAGTGATGATTTTTTTAATGCATAGTAGACAGGTAGGGCTAGATCCTTCCAGAATTCGATTTTTGAATTTATCTTTTGGTGTAATAAAAACCTTAGATATTTTATTTTTTAGTAGCAATTTTATGGGCATGATTTCATGAATTTTACGAAAAAGGGTTCTTAAAAAACAAATAAAGAGAAATTCAGAAATCAGGCTCTGGGAGGATCTAGCCCTAAGGGTACTCTTCAACTTGAAAACCGCCCGGGCTTGGTAGCTCGTATCCTTATTGTGAAATTCTTGCCCGCGTACAGGGTACTTTTGACCAATAAATTGACTATAACTCATTAGTTTATTGGAGATTTGGGGGAGATATTTTAACCATAATCTCTTCTAGTCTTGAGTAACATCCTCTGAAATTTTGGTTGAAATCGGATGAAAAATAACAAAGTTGGTTTCTGAGGGGGGGGGGGGGGGGGCTCTTAAGGCAGGACTTGCACTCTGTTCTCGCATGAAGGTGCTCTCTGCATCGCATTAACAACCAAAATGATTATTAGAATGAATTTTACTTGAAAGAATAGTTGCGACTTACACATGATATGTTTTACTTAAATAGTTTTTAAATCGAGTTGTAAGCGTCTAAGTAAATCGTGTAAAGCATATTCAATATCTGTACTTCGTTTAAAATAGATCTTCAAGTCATCAATACCAAGCTAAGATATTGACTTACTAGATTTTACTCATGCATCACTTGCTGAATAATCATGTTAAATAAACCCATGTTTATATTCTAGTTGAAAAGCTTGTTAGCTCAGCCCCTTTGGAGCTGAAATGTGGAACTCACATATCTTCTTGGGTCTCATTATACTAATCACAAAATACCGAATATTTAAATTCTCCAAAAGATAATAGTTCTTTTCTAATAATAATCGATTGTCAGAAAACGCTGTCTTTTTTATCTCTATATTTCGAACAGACATTTTTTTCTTTTTTTGGCGAAGTTGCTACGGTCTGTACTAAAGGGGGATGTCTGTAGTGGGGGCCTGTCTGTAAGGGGAGGGGAGAGCCGCAAAACCTTGAACTTAAAACTTACACTCACTATTTTCTTCGAAAATATATGTGAGTTCCACAAAATGATGAATGCCCGCGGTGCTGTTGTCAAGAGAACTTTCAAACGTGGAATTTCGGAACTTCGCTAATAGGATTTTCGCAAATAGGACATTCGACAATGGCGAAAGTGCAGTGGTTTGTTGACAAAAGTACAGTGGACTTTCGCCAACCTTCATGAAACAATATTAATATAGGATAGATGTGACGGAACTTAACGTTATTACAACATACATAACCTAGCTTACACTTAGAGTATATTCAAATTTGGGGAATGATGTTTCAATAAGAAAAATTGAGATTATGAAAAAAAGGACAGAGTAGAGTACAACCTAATGTTCATCTGACAATGCACTTGATAAGTCTGACTTGGAAATGTTATTCTTTTTGTTTTTCTTTCCTTTTCTTCCACAACAAACAGGTTCGCCAACAAGATGAGAAAAAGAGTTGATTGTATGAGCTAAAGATAATGCATTAGATTACAAAAAATGCAGTAATTTTTCGACTTGTTTAGTTTGACGAGCTGCTTTAGGAGTCGACTTTTTCGGTTGAACAGAAGAAAACCTACTCGAGTTTGAGCCATTCTATGAGATATTACACTTTCTTCTTGCTTTAAGCATTGAATGAGGTGTGGATGCGGCGTGTTGGTGTGGGTATGGGGCGTAGGTGTGAATGTGATTGTACGTGGGTCTTTTGTTTATCGACACCCACACCTACACCCAAAGCCACAGCCACAGCCACATCCCACCCACACCCTCTCAGGTAGGCGAAATTCCTGGAGTCTATTGGCGAAAGTCATATTGGCGAAGTTCCCGCCACCTTCAAACGTTCGAAAGCGTATCGAAGATAATTTTCGATTGAATTTTTTTCTTAAAATACAGAGCGACACATCAGATGATAAAATATCTTTCTTAGTCAGGAAGAATGCTAAACACTGATCAAAATTTGATTATCATATTTTTTCGATACATGTTTTGTAACATAAAGTTATTTCAAATATTGTAGAGTTGACTTTGTTTGACATAGTTGAAACGCAAATTTTCATATCAATCTTCTATATGTCAGAGGCTATTCTTGTCGATTATATTTTTGCATAAAATGAAATAGTTGTGTCAATGTGAATTTTATAAAATTTAAACAAAATAAAACTGACTATGAATAATAGCACTTGTGGAACGCCTAGAAATTAAGGATCTCAATCAGTGACGAGCTGATGGAGGTGGCATCCTAGAAAATTATAATCGTGGCTATCAAATAATAACGTTCTCAGTGTTTTTATCGGCACTTTTCTGTACTGAAAAATTTGTAAATGATTTTTCCATTGTAATTTCTGCGAGAATCCTTTTTCTACTGTATGCGAATATTTAAATCATCTCTACTCTGATAACTGTCGCAAGAATCGTAGTTATTATAGTCGAACTCAGTGCTCTTATTCATAGACCGATGTATGTAACATATAGTAATCAGGAATTCAGGCAAACTTCTATTTTATAACAACATCAAATGTACGATTAAGACGCTATCTATGGTAATGCGTGTAAACAGAATCTTTTCTATGTTTATATACTGTTGAGCATAAAATAGCAAAGTTTAAGTCTATGTGTGTATTTTGCGCAGACATTGATACGCATAATTTTGAATTTGTTTCCCACCAAATGAATCACTAGCTATTATTTTACATGTAACAGGTATTCATTATTACAGATCGTTAGAAAGTAGAAAAATAAATGAATCTCAACCATTGTTACAACAAAACATAGGATTTAGAGAACAAGATCGATAAATGCTAGATGGTGTCCATTTCATCCATACTTACTCATACTATTAAATCGACATCGATGCATTACTGTTTTCAATAGATGAGGACGAAAAATCTCATGCGATCGTTTTTAATGGACATATGTTTTACTGCTAAAATGAAAGTTTTCTACTGCATGTATTATATCTCATGTCTAGCTACTTAAAATCATTTTTGTATATTTAAGCTTTTGATATTAATATTCAAAGCTGCATCCAAGTATCAAACATCGATACTCAATGATGAAAAGATGCAAATTTTGGATAAGCTACATCGTTCGTACCTGAATAAATAGCTGTGTCTATATTGTGATACTAGCTTTCATTACGATAATTATTATACATACTTGTTGTTGTTCCTGTCGTAGTGATCAGTGTAGTCTGCTGTGCTATTTGTCGAAATTTCAGGCAGATAAGTCTTCAAAATTTAAAATACACATGATACTTACCTCGTGTTAAAGCAACTGTCGTCCCAATCACTGTACCTAAGATGGCAGCCGTGATAGTCAAGCAACAACAAACCAAACACATTCGGAAAAACAATGCTTTTCTGAATAGATCAATCACAATAAAAAAAAATATTAATAGTATATTACAGTTAATATGATGAAGTAAATAATATAAGGACATGCACAGTCTCAACTGAAAACTAATTATTTGTTACTTTTGCCCATCGTCTATAAAAACTTAGATCCGTAAAAAATTTTCATGCCAACTTTTCAGACTCTCTTAAGAAGCAATCGTTCTATGTGATTGTTTCTTCGTTAGTTGCGATCTGTATCATTTAACGACTTTATGACTGTTGGTCTATGTACAATAATCCACAACAATGGGAATCCTACGATTACTTGGAATATCATACGCAAAAGAAAAGTTAAAAAATTAGATAAATGCTTCCAATAACTCGCCATATTATCTATAAAATATCAACGACATTAGACCTATTCTATTGGTTTTCCGTTAGGATTTCATTTTAACCAGCTTTAAAAGATTCGAAAGTCAGAGAATCTGATTTCTGATCTAGCTCTTATGCAACTTTACTGACACTCTCAAGTTAAATCATTTCAGAAGTTAATGAGCCAGATGGTTTCATAAGTCAAACTCTTGTTTTCTCAGCTACTTAGGAGAAATGACACAAATTAGTTTTGTACGATTCAATTTAGATTTGTAGCTTTTTATATTAGTCAAGAGGACAATCTTCGCTAATTAACATCAACCTAATCCTATGCTAGGCAACTGCATTTTTTTAGCTGATGATCTCTAAGTAATCTACTTTCTGATGAGCTTCTAAGTACACTTTGGCGATCTATGTAAATTGTACAGCCTACGGTAGATCCTGAGCTAGAAGCCTCACTGGTGTAATGTAGGTACAGTTGTCAACATTTCGAAGATGGAAGTATTTCGCAGCATCGTTTCTTGTGTTATTGTGGTAGTCATTGTTGTACATGCCAATATCTCTTGACGCGCTCACTAAGTGTAAGGGTGAGTTGTAAGTGAGAATAATGTTTGGATGATACTTGATGAAGGTATTTTTCAAAGAGAAACACACTAACCAATCGAGTATAATACTGACAGCAATTCAGTGTCTGGCATTCATACATGCTCAAAGTGAATAAAAAGTTAGACTAAATCGATTATACAGACACCTAGGCACAATAGGACTGATGGAAATGAAATATGAGATCATTAAACTATTTCACAACTGTGCCCTTGAGGCTAACTTACTAGTGTAGCTACGCCATTCAATGGAAGCCTATTTGTCTATAAACTCCATTCTACAGATATTCTAACTCTGATGTTTGCAACGTTTCCAAAATAGTTATTGTTTCACGAATTGAAGATTTTAGGGAAAATTCTTTTTTATTTCAAGTTGAAATTCTAAGTCATGTGAAAGTCCTTTACCATAGAATCATAAATTTACATATT